CTGAGAAGAACGGCGGCATTCAGTACGGTGATCTTTGCTGCTGTCCAGATATATCTGTCTTGTCGAACTTTAGAAAATCGCCCGAAGTTCACAGATGTCATCCCTACCAGCGCCGTTCTACTCCCATGTCTCAGTTTCTACATCATGCCGATAAAGAGCCGAGGTACTTGAAGTTTTCGAAAGCCTGAATGGTCGTTCTATTCCATTGAATCTTTGGTTCGTTATTTGAGTCGAATGGTCACAAGATCTTCATTTTAGTGGAGAATACTTTTAGGTCTACCGTCTAGATCACTGTACACTTCTCAAGTTAGGTCAATAAGCCATTGACGAAGATGCTCAGCATTAGAGTGTCGTCAGTGTACTCGAGATCTGTTATAAATACGGCTGGGTACCTTCAGCGAAGTCGTCGTCTGATAGTAAATTACTCGCTCGCTGTTGTTGGGGACGACGCTCCTCCGTATCACATGAACAGCCACCATGTTTAATAATATAGATGAAAGCACTTCTCCTTGGCGCATTTTGCTGTTAATGTTAAACCTGTCCGACAATGACTCTTCTGCTCTGATGGCACCTTCAGCACCTTTGTACAGTCGTTTCAGCAAACTGATCATCTTCTGCTCTACTTCGTAGTGTCAAAGCATGCTCCACAAGGACTGACGGTGAACCGAGTCTAAAGCTGCCTAGACGTCAAGGAATGCTACATGCCAGGATAATTGGAAGCCCTTTTCCTGTTCGACTATCTTCTTCAGTGCGGCAATGCTATCCGTACACGAGAGTTCAACTGGAAACTCAAAGCCCTGTTTGATCTGATTGAATCGAATCGTTAACTGCGTTCGTCAGTCTTCGGAGGAGGATACCCACGAATGTCTTTCTAGCACAGCCAGAAACATAATCCTCCCGGTAGTTGGCACAGTCAGAACGGTTCCCACGTTTGAACGTGGGAATGATTGCGCACTACTTCCAATTCTGAGGGATTTCCGACTTGCACTAGGTGCTGTCAAAAACAAATGGATTTAATTCCGTAGGGTTATTCCAAGGCGCTTCAGAATTTCCGCACTAATCCTGTCGCGCCTGCAGGATTTTGAACTTCGACAGAGATGTACGGAATCTCAGATTTAGTCTTTCGATGGAACAGAGCAGCCACTTTCGTGTCCTTCTTGGTGTTCGAACTCTCGTTCCAGGTCAACAACTGAAGCATATCAACTTAGGAGCTCTTCTAGGTGTTCAGCACATCTTCTGCAGCAGCTGTCTGAATCTGGAAGGGATTCGTTGGACTTACTGCGAATAAAACAAGTTAGGGGCTTACGCTTGCTGCTGATGTTTATGTTGACTTGCCCGTACTGGTTCTACGTTCTGAGTTCCATCCAGTATGGCTTGTCGCAGCGTAACCCTTGTTGACTACTTTCACGAGGTGCCGATATCCTTGCTTCTTCGTCTCTTCAGGATTCTGTAAGAACTGCTGCTTCGCACCGTTTCATCTTTGGCAAAGAGTGAGAGTTTCTGGTGATACGGGTGCTTCATCTTTTTACTTATACTGAATGTATTTGATGCGGCACCGACGATGCCCTCTTTGAGCTGGTGGCGCAGCAACTTGGAGTCCTGCCAGATCATGCCCTTATCAGCAACGATTCTTCTGTTCATTCTCGTCATCAGGAACCTTCTGGATTTTTAACCTGTTGGTATCGAATCGAACGTTCTCCCAATCCCGTGCTGTTCCACGGGGCATAACCAGCTGGAGGTGAAGCTTTCCACAACCATCAAGTGGTCCAAGCCAATGTCAGGTGCTCATCGTGCTCAGATATCACGAAGGGCACTTCGCCACTTCCTTCTTACCAATATGTGCTCCAACTAG